CTGAATCAGCACCTCCCCTCCCATTGCTCCCAGTGAAAGAGACACATCATAGAACCAGCGTCTAATGCATTACAATAATGTAATTGTTAGAGCTCAGGCTTAGAAATGAGATCAGTGTGTATTTAAATCCAAGCTTTACCAAATATAAGCTTTTTTGATCTTGACCAAATGATGCTCACAGTGAACAACAATTTCTTTACACATAAAATAGAATTATTCATACCTCCTTCAAAGGGATTATGTGAGACTTACATGAAACACAACATCTAACAGAGTGACGTAAATACAAAGGACTCATTACTTGTTATTTCTCATTGTATCCACTTTCCTTTATCTCCTACAAACTTTTCAAGGACTCTCAACTTCACTGTCAGATGTTTTTAGTGAAGAGAAGGTCAAATACTCATAGAAAGATTTCTAAATTATTATGATTTATGAATTAGTATTCAATACTTTAAAAGTTGGCCTTTCTTCTGTCCTAATGTCTTTATTTGCCAAGATTCTATCAACCACAATTGTAAAGAAGATAAAACATGTATATATGAGTTGAGACAATTCTTGCCAGAAACTGTTAGTCACACCCTGAGCTCTGAGTTTCTATACAGAAAATGACAACAGGCAACAGTGAGCTTTTACTTCGTGCCAGGCACCATTCTAAGCACTTTACGTGTATTATCTCATACAAACCCCAGAACGGTCCTGTGATAGATACAATTATCTCTCCCCTTTTACAGATGTAGGAACTCAGTTATAAAGATGCTGAAAAACTTGCTCAAGATCACATAGTTAGCAAATAGAACGGCCAACAAAACTCTTACTCTGAAGCAAGCTTCAGATTTTTATCCTTAAAGATCAGTTTCTCTAACCTATGTGTCTATCCTCAGTAGAATAGCAGTTTTGTACTGACTTAGACATTTTCATATGTTATCTTGTTCAATCCTCCCCATAACTCTGTGACACAAGTATTATTAGGGCTGTTTCATGGACTCTGAGTGGCTCATACATCCATACTCCCATGACTAGAGCATTCTGTGCCTTGGGTCCCAGACTCTAAAATCACTTCCCAAATACAGTCATAGAGAGGCTGAAAACTGAGCCCATCTGGTTCCTCCATACGTTGGTCACAGATGCCATGGCCACAGGAGAGAAAGGATAAACTGCTTTGGCTCCCATCTTGATTGAAGCTGATAAATCTACTCCTCTAGGAGTTGAGAGATCAGAGCCTCCCTAACTCCTTGCACTTGAGTAACACCCATTCACATATTTCCCTGGAACTGCACATGACAATGTTGATAAGGGCAGACCTGGGAAGACCACATAAGCATAATGGGCCATGGATCACAAGAGTTGTTTGGTTTTGAGTTTTCAACCCATTTGGATCCAGATTCCCAAGGGCCAAAGGAGATATCTCCCAGCTGAGCATGATCTTAATGGCTTAAAAGAACTAGCTTCAGGGACTTGTTTCTCCAAAGGCAACTTTCATTTATTGCTGATTTTATGGTGCTTGCAATCCTTAGTTCTTCTGCTTTAACATACCTTGTTATTTTCAGGTCTTTAAATCAGATCAGATCTCAAAGTGGCTTTTATCATATAATTCATATGGTCACCGAGAGAGACTGACAAATGCTTGGTAAGGCAGCTTGGAGAGATGTTCTCTAATGCTTATGGTTTTTTTCCCATCAATTTCTTTTGAAGCCTAATGCTTTGGAAGATGTCTGACTAACGAAATTCATTATCTGAGCTGAGATGCTGTGCCTCACACTCATAGGATGCTGTGACTCTGTAAAGCAAAAATAAACCCAGCCCATGAACTCAGCATTATTTAGGAAGTCTCTCTTAGTAATTATTTTCAAGTCATTAAGTGAGGAAAAGAAATATTATAATTAAGATAAAAATAAATGAACCTGCAAAGCAGTGTCAGTAATGGGCCAGTGATTGCTACAAGGGTGGTGTACAAGTAAGATGTCTTATTATAGAAGTAACCTGTTACTTCTTTCCCAAATGCACTCAGAGAGGTAAGTACAATCTGTGATTTCTTTGTTAGTATTTTTTTCTCAAGGTGATCCTAGAGTTTTCAATTTATAAGTAAGTTAGATTTAAACAGATGTTTCTACTGTCACAGATTTATATGAATAGTGACTGGCATATTTAGTCTACTGAGAAAAGCAGTCACTTAGTATATTATGAACCCAGACCCAAGATAAGAAAATAAAATTTCTTTTATTAAATTATTTTACTGATTATAAGGGTAATCTCTTTTCTTTGTAGAAAACTTAGACCAGAAAATTTTTCAAAGAAAAATTGACCTTAACTTTGAATTCAAATAACCGCTATTAGTCTTTAGTGTACTTTTCAAATACTTTTTAATGTATACGTATCATTTTGAACAATTTAGATCATAATATATAAACTATTTTATATCTTGAGTTTTCCACTCTATATTAGAAGAATCTTTCTGCACCACTAATTCTTCTTGCACAAAACTTCAGTGTCTACCTGGTATTTCATAAGTATAATTCAGTGAACTGTTCCTCTTTATGTAAACATTTGGACTTTTTTCCTTTTTTCATTATCATAAAATAATTGTGAAACAGAACGTGTATGAAAAAGTTTTGTCCTTTTTTTTTGAGCAAAATTAGCCCTGAGCTAACTGCTGCCAATTCTCCTCTTTTTGCTGAGGAAGACTGGCCCTGACCTAACATTGCACCCATCTTCCTCTACTTTATATGGGGGATGCCTACCACAGCATGGCTTGCCAAGCGGTGCCAGGTCTGCACCCAGGATCCAAACCGGCAAACCCCCGGCTGCTGAAGTGGAACGTGCGCACTTAACCGCTGCGCCACTTGGCCGGCCACTATTCATCTTTTTTATCTAGAATAGATTCTTAAGCATAACGAGTATTGGACCAAGGGACATGACCAGTTATAAAGCCCTTATTATATAGAGTCAAACTTTGTTCCAGAATTGTTTATACTACACGCAGTCACCAGCACTGGGCAATATAACATGTCATGAATCTTTGCCAATTTGCCAGTTAAAAGTATTCCTCTGTTTTTAAATTGTATCTGATAACTTTGAATTTAATGACTTCTGAAATACAGGATTTTTTAGATGTCTAATGTTTTTGTGAACATTATCATTTTATTAGTTTTCCCTTTATTTTTATAATAGTGTGAGCCCATCTTTTTGTGAAAACTATTTCTATAATACTGGTTATCTATTACACTTGTTACAAGTATTTTTCCATTGTGTTTCATATCTTTATGTAGTTGAGTCTGTTAGTTTTGTCCTATATCTTATACCATTGCATTTTGCTTAGAATGCTCTTCCTTTCCCATCTAGAGATTAGATAAAATATTTTTCTTTATTTCTTTTTTTGTTTTGAACAGATCTATGATTTATTTGAAGGCTTTAATACACTCTATTCTTTTTTCCTTTTTCTTTATTTTTCCTTTTTGCTTTTTTGTTGGTGACAGCATGAAGAGAAGACTTGCTTTACTTTGAAAAACACCTATCTAGTTATTGAAAAATCTTTGATGAACTACACATAACATTCTTTTAAGTATTCTGTAAAAATAATGTCCTTTTGAAATTTCACCATATTTGCTTCTTACTGAACGTATATGTACTTATCAGATTTATTTGTACTTTTAAAATACTAAAAACCTTTGGATTTGTTTATCAAGTCTAATATTTCCCTATTACCTGATGTATTGATTTCTGCATTCAACCTTTCTCTGAATATAATCGGTTGCTTTTCTAACCTCTTGAATTGAGTATTTCGTTCATTTATTTTCTCTATTCATTGTGTTCTTTCTTAATATTATAACAATCAAATATTTTGAGGATAAGAATAATGAAATGTGGATTTTTTTCATTTTTATTCTATTATCAAGAATTTGGAATGTGTGAAAAGTTATGCATTTTACCTATAAGTTAAAACTTTGACCTATGTAATAATGCTGTTTTTCAATTCCTCTATGCTATTTTTTGTTTTTCCTATTTTATATATGAGAAAGTTTAGGCACAGTAAGGCTAAGGTTTGCACACAACGTCACATGGCTACTCATCCATGAAAACAGAGTAAAGAATTGTCTACCAGACTATAAAGAACACACGCTGGCCAACAAATTATGATGCTTTTATTGCCTCACCTTAAATGTATCTGTTTTCTAAATAGATCCAGAGAATTTGTCATAGTCTTCCTTAAGTTGAGTTTTGATTTTCAAAATGCCCCTGAAACCTAATCATGACAGAAGTTCTCTAACTAGTGAATGCTAAACTTTCAAATAAATCTGTGGAATTGCCTTGCATCATGTTCTCTGCTTTATCCTCTTCAGGATATCTTTCTGCCTTCCTGTTTAATGATATTCCTAGACAGTTCTGTTTGAATGCAGTGTAAGCTCACAATCTAATCTCCAGGCTTATTTTGCTGTAGTCTCAAACATTCACTCAGTTCAGTTTTTCTGAAATGTGACTACATCATCCTTAGTTTCAAATTGAGTTTACCTATTGTTTTATATACACCCTGAAACAAGTTAAAAATAACAAGAGTAATGAACTCTGCAGCTTAGCCTCATCAGCACAAGTGACTAGAGGAAAGACATGGGGGTGTAGGCTCATGAATTCAAGCCTCTGGTCTTCCCTACTGGTCCTCTTTTTATTCCTGTTTTTCTAAGGAGGAAATAATTAGGCAAATGATGAGACAATGTCCATCCACGTACAATTACAAGAAAATTCCTGGCATGTCAACAGTCATAAAACCATGCTTGTGTATATAAATGTGGTCATGAATGTGTGTGTGGGAGAGAAAGAACAGGACTATGTGTTCATTATGCAACTAATAAGATAGCCCAAATTTAAGTCTTAGTTTTATCTTCTTGCAGATAATAATCCTAACAGAAATTATTTTCTTGATCAAAATTTATCTGCCACAATTGCAGCCCCTGTGCTTGTGCTATTCACAGATAACTCAATTATCCAAATACCAAAAAGAATTCATGGAGCTAATGAGCAATGTGACTGAATTCATCCTGCTCGGCCTGACGCAGAACCCAGATGTGCAGAAACTCTTGTTCCCTGTGTTTGCAGTCATCTACTTTTTCACTGTGGCAGGAAACCCACTCATTGTGGTGACAATCACCACCAGCAGAGCCCTAGGTTCCCCCATGTATTTTTTTCTGTCTTTCTTGTCCTTTATAGATGGCTGTTGCTCTTTTACTGTGGCTCCCAAAATGCTATTTGACTTACTTGCAGAAAAGAAAACCATCTCCTTCGGTGGGTGCCTGACTCAGCTTTTTGCAGGGCAATTCTTTGGGGGAGTTGAGATCATCCTGCTCACAGTAATGGCCTATGACCGCTATGTGGCCATCTGTAAGCCATTGCACTACACAATCACAATGAACAGGCAAGTGTGTGGCCTCCTGGTGGTCCTGGCCTGGACTGGGGGATTTCTTCACGCACTGATTCAAATTCTTTTTTTGGTCTGGCTGCCCTTCTGTGGCCCCAATGTCATTGACCATTTCATCTGTGACCTTTTCCCTCTGCTACAACTCTCCTGCACTGATACTCACGTCCTTGGACTTTTTGTGGCTGCCAACAGTGGGCTGATGTATATGCTTATTTTTTTTATTCTTATCACCTCCTTTGCTCCCTAAGACCTCACAGCACTGAAGGACAGCGGAAGGCTCTCTCTACTTGTGTTTCTCATGTTACTGTAGTCATCTTATTCTTTGTACCCTGTATATTTGTATAACTTCGACCTGTGATTACCTTCCCCATTGATAAAGCAGTGGCTGTTTTTTATACTATGGTAATACCCATGTTAAACCCTTTAATCTACACCCTCAGAAACTCAGAGGTGAAAAATGCCATGAGGAACATCTGGAGCCAAAGGGTAATCTTGGATAACAATTCATGTGACTGCAGAAGATAAAAACAAAATCTATTCATATTTTAACAAGTATGACTAATAGAAAGGACAATGGTCTTGAAGTCCAAATACATGCTTTAAGTATCTTTTGCTTCCCTTTTTTCTGGGTTCTTTAATGGTCCCTATTTCATAAAATATAAATATTTTATTAAATGATGACTAAATTCTCCTCCAATTAGAAACCACTTTGCATTTACAAATTGTTGGTCAAAGGGACATTGCTAATCAGCATAAAAATGTCACAATGTATGGAAAACCTCTGAGTTTATGTATTCAGTAGAATAATTCTTTGTAAAGCTTCAGGTATAGATTATATAAGCAATAGGCCAAGTAATTAAATTGTTTAAACAAAAATGCCTAACAGCTAAGTATTTTCTTGAGAATGAGTAGTTTTAATCCCAACTACTGTATTCAAGGTAGATTTATTATTGTGAGAGTTAGAGATCAACAAGAAATGAATGGGTTTTGAGGAATGAGAGAGTCATTAAGGGAGGAATCATCCCAAAATTAATGCTGTTGTGTTGCACAATTCCAGGGGGCACCAATCACCTCGTAATCTGGGCTCTTCTCAGAATAAATTATTTTCTGTGCCTAAAGCCAGGAAGGAATATAAAATTCTTCCAGGTACAATTGTTAAGCAATCTTGCACATGATGTCCCAGGTAGAAGATATTTTGTGGAGCACTTTTTGGTCGAAGACATCCTATATACCATTTCACCTCCAATGTAACTTTTATTGGATGGATTTATGCCTTAGCTAATAGAAACAAAAGTTTCAGGTACAAAAGAGTTGATGATATCTGAGTAATCAAGACAAAGTGTGCACATTCCAATTTAAATAGAAAATTTCAGGTCAGTTGAAGACCACTGAGATGGGAAATAATTTGAGATACAGAAACAGTTCAATTTTTAGAGAGATAACCCAGATAAAAGAGTGGATCAGGACCTGGGCTAGGACAGAAGTCCTGCAAATCCTAGCAATTCCACTTCTCCCTTCATAAGGGGTGAAATAACCCAATGACTCCAAAGTCATGCCTATATTTTATGCTATGTATATATTTCATAAAGATTGATATTCAATTATCTAGCAAACAATCTATTCCAAATGTGAGATCAGTTTTTTCCAAGCACAGCCAGTCTATTTGCTGATCACTAAGAATCCATTCTCTAATACCATATTTTCCAGCCCACTTGTTTTTAAGTAGGACCATGTTTGCAGAAGGGATGTATGTCACACCCAGGCTGAAACATTTAGGAGCCAGTGTGCTACTCCCCAGCTTTCTTTTTCCCTGCTGCAGCAAGCCTGGATGACACTCATTGAGACGGTAGGTCCACCCGGCGGAAACAACTTGGATTACTGAGTAACTACATGGAAGAGAACTACCCTGGAGGATAACCTAATCTTAAGTGGATTAGGCCTGAATAGGAAATAAAATTGTATGAGTCAAGCCACTGAGAGTTCAGGATTCATTTGTTTTCATGGCAAAATGTAGCTTATCCTGAGTAATACATTGACTAATTTTACCTTTTAAAAGATTTATAAGTATTAAGGAGAGAAAAGGTTAACATAAGTTTTGCAATTACAGTTAGGGGTCACTTGAGGATGGGGAATCCATTGGTAGGGGATTTCATTGTTGTGCCAACATTGTAGAGTGTATTTGCACAAACCTGGATGGTAGGCTATATAGTACTAATCTTATGGGGCCACTGCTGTATAGGTGGTCTGTCATTTACCAAAATATCATTATACAGGCTTGACTGTATGTTAATTCTCAAATAGTGTAGAATTGGTAAATAGTAATCTTTACAAAATCTCGCCTATATAAAGCCTTGTTCTGCTTCAAGTGTAACATACTACACTAACTGAAGTATTTAAACCATAATTTATATACCATCTTCTTTTTCCCTTTACCTAAGATGTAAGGCAATACTTAAGAAAATTATAAACTAGGGAATGCCAACAAAAATTATGAAATCAAATGTGAACTAGGACTTCAAAGCTTCTTGAGCAAATTTTCTGGCTCTTCTAGACAGTTCTTTCTTCCTAAACATTCTTCTGGGCATATGTCCAAATTTTTCACCAATTCCCTATAACCTTGATCCCTTGAATTTTCCTTTTATCCCAGGAGGATACTATGCCTCCTGCTTCCCAGGAAAATAGGGGCCAAAACAGAATCATTCTCCTAACCTTAAACTTCTCATCAATAATTATATCTATAATTCATTTTTGCCTACTTGCCCAAACTATTAAAATATGTGCAAGGCCTCATATTTAATGTTAATATATCTACGTGTATTCTGCATACAACTGCTTCCTTTATCCTCAGAAATTTTAACTTGTTAATTATCATCTTCTTTTTTTCTGGTCATTAATATGTATGTTCAAACTGAACTGCCACTCTTATGTGCTCCAAGGCCAATAAAGGAAACAGTATTTTCAGCCTCAATCTCATTAATCACTTAGTTAGTTCCCTTCATAGTTTATTCTCAACCCCACTCACACTCTTCCTTTTCCTACAAAATTCTCCGTATTAGCTTATTTCACTTTCTAATACATCCTTCCTTCTATAAATTAGGAGACCTGCTTTTCCTATTGAATTTACCACCTCTTTGAATGATTTCACCATTCCATTAGCTACCAGAGCACCTTCAAAATATCTATGGGTCCTGGTAAATCTGAGGGTTTGGGCTCCAGAAGAAAGCATAATAAAGAAGATTAATAAGTCTGCTTTTCTTCATGTCTACTTGAAATCAATGCTAAATTTGAGTTATATTTATTTTATGCTATTGCTAGGAAATTTCCACTATAGATAAGTCATCCTGTCTTTTCTGACATCCTTTTCCTGGGACAGAACTCCAACCAAGCAGTCAAGTTGATGGAATCCAGCCTCTGCATACATGAATAGGTGATTTTATGGATCCCCAAGGACTCTCACTTCTTGCTCAGAACAATTCTGTAGGTGGGGAGTATGCCCATACCTATCCCTTATCATCTCCTTCGGTAAAGGAATAGCCTGAACTCAAAGTGCCAAGTAAGTTACACCAACCCAGATGATCCCTGGCAAGGTTGCAACCAACTCCACATTAAAGGCTGAAAGAGAGTGAATGGAAGTGGAGTCCTGCTCCCTACAGTGCTTTTTTTCTATCTCCTATAAGTGTCTTCTACAAAGAAGCTTCTCTGAGTGTGATTTTTTTCAACCACTTCTGCCTATAAGCATAATTCTTAACTTTACATCCTCATGATTCTCCATTGTACAGTAGGAAGCAAAGCTTTACTCCTGTGCCTCCTGACTCCTAGGAACTCCGGAAAAAAAAATTATATCCATGTCTTTTAATTCATTCAACTTGGGGAGCTGAGAGTAGCTAGGAATCCTACCCACTAAAGCTTCTCAGTCAATCATAAATGAAAAGGTCACAGTCTTCCAGGGTGTATAGATATTTAGTCTTAAAGGCTGGCATGTCTATACTATGGACAATCAAACAACACAAGCCAGTAATGTTCTCAGAGGAAAACTCTTTCTTCTGAACACAATAAGGCTTAAACGCAGCCAAAGATCAAAAGACAGGATAGTGAAAACCGCAATCAGACCTTTTGATGAATACTTCAGATTTGCTCCAGTCAAGTCTAAACTCCAAACATGGCCAGCGACATACTTTGAACTCAGGCCTATGTCTTCAAAATTGTCCTAATGATATTTATCACTACCAAGTGAGAATAACTAAAAGTCATCAGCTGCCATTATTTGCAAAGATTCTAACAGGATTACTTACTACTCCTTTGAGGATTTGAAGAGTAAGTACATCAGCAGATACCTACACTCAAAATCTACTTAAACATTTCTCTAGATTAGTGAGAAAACAATTAAAGAAAAGGAACCATGAGCAATTAGCTGCAGAATACCATCTCAAAGATAGTCCATGACTTTGAGCGGGTGGGGCTAGGCACAGGGCAATGATTGTTAAATCCAGGTTTTTCTCAAATTTGAAACAGACCTAACTTATCCAAGCATGTTTACTAAAATTAGTTTTGTGGTGACAGGCTAAAAATAAACAGGAAGACAACAACAAGAAAACTATCTGTACATGTAACTGTATACAGATTTACATAATTAGCAACAGTGTGCCATATACCCAGCATCCATCACAGTGCCAGATAGTCTAGGCTCTAAAGATAATCTCCATGAAAAAGGCATACAATAGCTACACAGATTTTTTAAAACTTCCAGTTATATGCTGTCTACAAGATACTCACTTAAGGTTTCAGGACACACACAGGTTCAAAGCAAAAGTGATGAATAATGACATTTCATGCAAATAGTAACAGAAGTAGAGCAGGGATGTCCATACTTATGTCAGGTAAAATAGACTTTAAGCCAAAATTGTCACAAGAAACAAAGTAAGACTTTACATAATGATAAAAAAATTCTGAAGGAAGATATAATAATTAGAAATATATATGCACACAACATTGGAACCCCTTAATATATTAAGCAAATATTATCAGATATGAAGGCAGAAATAGAAAACAATTAAATAACAGTAAGAAATTTCAATACTCCATTTTCATGATGAATAGAACATCCAGACAGAAAATCAATGAGAACAAAATTGACTTGAATGACACTATAGACAAAACAGACCTAACACAGATATACAAACCATTCCATCCATTAGCACAGAATATACATTCTTCTCAATTGTACTCAATTGTATTGTGGATAATTATGCAGGATATATCATATGTTAGGCAACAAAACTAGTCTTAAAAAAAAATAAGAAGATTGAAATCATACAAAGTATCTTTCTGAGCACAATGGATAGGAACCAGAAATCAAGAGCAGAAGGAAAACTGGAAAATTAACAAATACATGGAAATTAAACAACACAGTCAGGTACAAGCAATAGGTAAAAGAAAAAATCAAGAAGTGAATCAGAAAATATCTCAAAACAAAGGAAAATTAAAACACAACATACTGAAACCTATGGTATATGATAAAAGCAATA